TTAATAACAGCTAAAAGGTGACATAGATACTTTATTATGGTATAGTATTTAAATATTTGCCTGTGAAACACATAATATTGTCCCTTTAATGAAATGAATGATGGACTACACATTGGCAACATCTCCAAGAACTGAAACAAATGTGATTATAAAAAAGGGGTTACAATTTGTGCCTCAAACGTCCCAACTGAACTGAAATGTTTTACTGACTCACATGACTTTAAGCTACTGCAGTTCTCGCTCGACTTAGTGCTGCGATCAGATCCGAAAGCTTCTCATCCTTCCTGCGATTTCCCATGCAGGTGCTGTGGGAGCACATAGAGCCCTCCCAGAACTTCAGCATTTACAACGGGGGAGTGGAAGCAACATCCAACCTGTTGAGTAAGTGACACCAGATAAGTTTAACCAGAGGGCGGTAGGGATCGGACTCCAAACCTCCCAAARCAAACRGAAGATTTTGATGATAGACGCATTTTACTGGTGCTCAAATGTCTGTCTTCTGCATCACTGCTTTGTTTTCCAGGTGCAGCGACGGCCTACGGAATAGGCTTCACTGATGTGAGGTGGGAGCAGTGGGGGGAGCTTGCCTTGGGCGGTTTCTCTGGTCTCGGCGCAGCTGCTTTGTTTCTCATGACTTTCACGGGCAACATCTGGGTCTGCTACAGCAGTTACGTCGTATTCAAGTGTCTGTACATGCTGCTGATAACAATAGCTATGTAAGGCTCTTATCCTATTTGTTTATTTATGTGTTTCCTGTCTCTAAAAAGCAAAAGTGGAGGATCATTTTGTGTACTTTACAAAATTATGTCATGAACAATTGGTAAGATTTAATGAATCTCAGAAAATTTCAAGTGATTTTGATGTAAGTTGAATATAATAAGCGAYGACAAAATGTACTCCCACAGGTATCAGATCGCAGCGGACCTGTCAATGGAACGTTACGCTCTGGTCTTTGGGGCAAACAACTTCGGAGCGCTGGCTCTTCAGACAATCATCACTTCTGTTGTTGTAGACAGCAGAGGACTGGGCCTCACCATCATCCCTCAGGTAGGAAATCTGATTACAAACTATGTGCTGGGAGGCGTCTGTGAGATTTGTGATTTTTAACTTGTGCGCTCTTTTGCAGTTCACCATCTACTCCAGCTACTTCGCAGCCATCTCAGTGGTTTTYTTAGTCAGGGGACTATTTACATGTTGGAGACAGCAGAGAAACAACAGAGAAGAACGTCCTGCAGATAAAAGRGACTCTCTGAAAAGTGAAGAACATAAATTCTGATGTTAAAACAGTTTTGTTGCTCTGATTTGTGGCCCCATGTTCATTTCAAAGTGAACTAAATAAAACAAAATAACAGTACCATAAGAAAGACCAAATCAATAAACACTTGGATTATTTTCTCTTACTTAAAATTGATTTTAATATATATTCTGTATATATATTTACACATTAACTTAAAATTATTTATTATCCAATAAAAGTGGTTTTCAGTCCATTCTTTCTGGTTCCCCAGATTGTTTTTGTGGTTGTCGTTCTGAAGTGTTTGTGACCAGGGCTTCTGCAAGACCGGAGGAGATGGCAGAGCAAAGCGTCCATCTGTTTCTGATGCATCTTTTTTTTTTACGTTCAGCAATAAAATGTTTTCTTTTTCTTTAGCAAGAACAATTTACTCAAAAAGTTCTGCACAAATGAACAGTTTTGTTCTTTACAGATACAGAAACTGGCAGCAATGAAGCAACAGCCCTGTCTTAAATTCTGTTATACAAATACTGATGCGCAAAGAGATAATGTAAAGAAAAAAAAAAACTATATGTACAAAAACTGCAGCATAATGAATGAGATACACTGGATGCAATAACTTTGCATGGTTGGTTTTTCAGCCAGTTTGAGTATACATTGTGGCTCAGTGGAGACTCAGCCGGTTCACAGGTTAAATATTGAAAGAGAGGCTCAACCTCGTCCTCAGCATACATCACTTTGTTTTGTAGTTACAGACAGTGTCAGCGGGACTGCCTCGCACGTTGTCCTGTTTGTGACAAACTGCCATAGAAAATACGATTCTTACAAACGTTGTGTTTCTTCTTAAAGCTACTTGTGAAACCAAACAGTGCAAGAGGTGCAAGCGCGCCAACTGGTGACCCTGTAGTGCAGCAGACAAGATGCTTCGCTATAAGAAGGGGTTTGTTGAGGAGCCTCCTGCTGGAAACTGTGCAGGCGGACCTGAACCCTGGAATCAGAGGTACAGAAGCAGAGTCAGACAACAAAGAGAAAATTGGGTGATTTTTTTAAGTGATGTTCTGTCAAATACTTATTAATAGTGCTTCGCAATAAGAGCAAAAAACGGTATAAACAAACTCTCATAGGTATTCATACACAAATAACAGAAAATATAACATATTAGGGATGCAAGTTATCGATTAATGGATTAATCTATAGTTGATTGATCTTATCGATTGACTAATGATTAATTGATAAGCGGCCATTTTCCTAAAAACCTGACATTTCTCTTGAATCAAAGGTTTTTCTATGACATGAAGGGCTAATTTTTTTTGACACTAAATAAAAAAAAGTACAGTTAGTTAATTTTATAAATTTATTGTGCCAGCTGTATTAAACACTGACTGAATAAACAGAAAACTGTGGACATTATTAAACTTGGACATGTCATAAAATATAACAAAACGGGAATCTGTTAGGTTGCTAGTTGGAAAAAAAAGGAAAGGAAAAAAAAAGTTACACACTTGATCCATCCTGAACAGAGAGTGTCATACTGCTGGATACAGCCTTCGGTACTTTTCCTTCGAGTTTGGTGTAGTCCATTATTATTGTGGTGTCGCAAATAAAACTAAACAAGATTTGCGTGTAATTACGATGCCGCCCACATGGAGGCGGCCGGCTCTCTGCTCAGCTGGCCAGGGTAGAAAGGCCAGGCTGAGAGCAGTGGCGCCCTCTACTAGTAAAAGGCAAGCCTACACTGGAATAAGGTTTAATTGGATGTTTTCAATTAATCRAATGGAAGAAATTTTAATCTAATAAACCATTATTCGATAATTAACCGTAAGTCRATTAATTGTTTGCATCCCTATAACGTATACAAAATATACCATGTATTGGTTATTTGTTCTAACCAGAAAAGGGTTGTTAGGGACCACTGGTGCCATCACAGCCTGTCCAAAAGGAGTCACAACAGGCTTAGCCGGTCCGAAGGCAGGGAATCCTCCTCCTGAAAAACATGCCCGCTGTCATCACTATCTGATACCAACAACAAACTTACTACAACCGTATGAAATCAACCCATATTTCTTTGGTCACTGACAACATTTGGCATGTAGGTGGAACATAAATATTAAGAAAATTGCAAATTTAGGCTTAAATAACAATGTAGACAAGCTTACAGCTACATGATCACTGACACACACCGTTAGGTTGTTGAGGAAATGCAGGAGGCTGGGGRAAAGGAGCCTGGCCAGGAAAGACTGGCTGGAATGTTCCACTAAAGCTGGTAGGGAGGTTGAAGGCTGCAGCATTTCCAAATCCAGCTGGCATACTCATAGAGCCTGTGCCAAAAGATGCTGCAACACAGCAGGACAGGAACAGTTAGAGAAGCCTGAACAAGACTGAGCAACACCTGATGGCATGCAATAAAAAACAACACAACATACTGACGAGCATCAGCAAACAAACAAAACAGAAATAAAAAACAATCTAAGTGTTTTGAAATTAGTTTGTTAGGAAGATTTTCAGTTACTGAGATGAAGAAAACAACCAGTTACACACCCTTTATACAAAAACATTACAATAAAATAGAAATATGTCAAATCCACGTTTGATCAAAATCTATTTTTGAAGTTAATAATCATATTTGAGGAAAACATGTAAAACTGATATGGAAAATGTGCTTTTATTAATTTTATTCTTGCTGAAATGCTTAGTTTCTGACAATGTTTGCATAATTTAAGTACAAGTGAAACACACTTCTGTGCACAAAGCTTTGGGGAAAATGTGTAAGTTTGATATTAACCTTGAGCTTATAAAAGAAGCAACAACCAAGATCAAAAAGGCAGATCGCAACTGAGCAACCTGCAACTTTTCCTTCCATATGGTGAAATGTTGACTCTAACAGAAGGGTGAGACATTCTGTAGCTACACTAAAAATCATCTTCAAGCCTTTTTCTAATAGATTTATGCCAGAAAATATTAGTTTCTGTCATACCAAAGCACAAGAGAACTGAAAGAACCCCACACATCAAACAGCAACCTACCAAAGGATGAGGTATGACCTTGCCAATGAAGAGCACGCATCAAGCCTGTCCAGCATGGCAAAAATATTCAATCAACTTTTAGGTCTGCACCCGGCTAATTCTTTAATCCTGCAAGTTTACAGCAGTAAAGACCTGCTATCCATTTCCAGATAATGTGGAAAATGTTGCCACTTTAGATGCAAACAGGTACAGACTGAGATGTTTACTGTACAATAGTATGTTTTCCCACTTAGGTAGTTTTTATTTGAGTTAATAAAGTAGCYGAGTAACTGGTTGTACCTGCAGACAAAAACGTGGATTAAAACAAACCTGCTGCAGCCGCCACTTGTGGTGCTCTGCCATTACACTGGAATGGATTGGTGGGAGCTGCTGCTGGGCCAGCAGCTACAAATGGATTAGTTGATGGTGGTGCTGGAGAAAAGAAAAATAGTTACATTCATCTACTTTTTAGAAAGTGCCCWGTTTTAAAAATAGAAACTTGGTTGTAATAAAAGTAAAATCTGAATCATTTTCAAGCAGACAGATAAACCTCTGGAAAGCAGGTTAATATAAAAAAGGCTGAAATCAGAAAAATCCTAAACAAAAATGAAAACAGATTATAATTAACCTAACTTCATATTTTACAGATTAAAATATTGAACATAAAGTGCACAGATTTTTTTTAAATCACATGTACAAAAAGAAAATTCACCCAAACTGTAAAAGGATCCTAAAGATCAGAACAAACTCTGATTCGATAAAGTCAACTCGAATTACCAAATGATACTTTTCAACCCAAATAAATAATTAGTACAACCCACCAGAAAGAAAAGCTTCCCCTCACCTCCAAACCCCTGAACTACACCAGGCATGGCTTGTTGTGCGTGTGCTGCTGACACCGCTGTCTCTGATCCAAACACACTGCTGCAACAAAAACATGAAAAACGAGAGAAAAAAACAACAACTTTGTCTCTGAAAACTAGTTAACTTTGACCATCAGATCCATCTATTATCACATCATCACGCTTCTTTCTGCAACGGTTGAAATCCTCTATTTTTACCATATTATACTGAATAAATTGCTTATAATAATAGGTATAAAAATTGTAAACACTTTGGGAAAATAATCTATGGTATTTTGCTTTTCAGTGTATGTGTGTKTGTGTGAAGTTAATGACGTGTCTCACCCCTGTGAGGTGCTGGAAGTGTTGTAAACACTCGTGGCAGGAGCTGAGGAGCTGAAGACGGTATCAAGCTCTGCCAAAGCAGCGTAGCGGTCTCCTCCTCCTGTACCTGCTGGCTGCTTCTGAACCAAACCTGCAACTCCTCCTGCTGTTCCAGAGCTCACCCCAGCAGGAACAGCTCCTCCTGAAATAAAAGTGCATGAATACAGAGGTTGGTTCAATCTACCCCAGCTCAACCAAAATACAAAATAAGCTTATTGGCTTTAAAAGAAAAAAAAAGTCCCATGAGCTGCCATACGTATAAACATAATGGGGAACAAATGTTCAGTTATTCATAAATTTGCATTTTCTTGCAGAGAGAGAGAGAAAAACACAGCAATTCACAAAAATAAACTTTAGAATGGGTTAAGAAAATCCTACAATGCCAGAATTCTGACAACGTGTCATAAAAATAAACCATCCAGTAAATGAATCAATAAAGTGAGTGAAACTCAGCAGCTTGTTGTCTTTATCCAGGTTGATCCAGTGTTACTAAGGCCAGGGTACCAATTATGGGGGAGAAACTACAGCCATCCTGAAATGGAACAAACCGCTGACTAAATTTAGAGCAAAGTGACCAGAATCTGAAATCTGCTAAAGTGAAAGTCTGATGATGATTTGTGCATATTTAACACTGCTTTGACAAAAAAAAAAAGAATAAAAATGCTCAAGTTTATGTTATGTTTAACTTTTGTTTTTTCATCCTATTTTTTTTAAAGTCCTCTTGCCCTACAGTTGAAATCTATAGAAACAGGTTGGGCCTGAGAAGTTTACCTTGCTCTGTTTTGGCAGAGCTAAATACGTTATCCAGGTCAGCCAGGGCTGCGTATCTATCACCAGGAACGCTAGTACTCTGTACAGCGTTATTGCCAGCTCCTGTGGAGTTACTCTGGGAGGGGGAACTGATGGATCCAAAGTCAGCGCTACACGATTTGGGGAAGTTGTCAAAATAAGCAAAAGTGGCATTTGCCAATCCCCCTGAGGCGCTACCTGCATGAAAGAGAGAGATTTTAAAGTCATAAGGGAACCCTTGACTGTGGGTTTAGACACAAAACAATAATAAATAAAAAACCTGGTATAAAAAAGTGAGATCTGCAAAGGCATGGCTGAGGGTCAAGTCATGCTGGAGAAGAATACCAGCATTATCTGAACTATAGGTTCTCCTCTGTAACTCCACATTATCCTGACTTTCCTTTGGTCTCTGAACATATTGAATTTGACAAAACACAGGAAAGCAGCTTCTTTCTTTTATGTTCCTTTTTCACCCGACACCCTGATATGAATACTGCTGACCTTTAAAATGACAAACTCTACATTTATACTCCAATAAATCATGTTTGATAGTAAAGTAAGGTCAAATCACTTCAAACTGAGTGATATTTGGCAGTAAAAGGACAAAAAAAACCCAGCCAAAAATAGACACCAGCCTTTTATTTTCCACTAAATTACACAAAATCAATGTGGGGGGGGAAAAAGTATGTTTATCCAATGTTTTACTTTTGCGCATGCATGTTTTTCAAATTTAATTATTTAATTTTAGGGGATAACTTTGTGTAAAAGACTGTCCATTGTGTTATGTGGTACAATGCATTTTATCACTGGAGTTATGTGCCATTTATTTACTTTGAATGATTCATGGTCAAAACTAAGTGGCTTAAACAAGTCAAAATTCCCTGGAAGTGGCCATGTACAAAGACAAACAAGGAAGGAAGTGCAAAAGCACCAAAATATCACTATCTAAACTAGGAAAGACTTTTAGAAGGCCTAAAATATGATGCAGATGATGTTTAATACAATGATGTTTTTGTTGCCTGGCAAGTGTGCTAAAATATTTATGGTTAGTACATCATCTTGGCACTGCTGTGTTCTTTGTAAGACATACCTTGTTTTCGTAAGATACTATATATATAGCGTGCAGCAAAATTTAGAAAAGTTCAGCTTTTTAAATAAAGCATCTAAAAGAATGAGATGTGAACTTTATGCACTGCATTATATGCAGTGATGTAGCTGTAGCAATTACAGGAGGTCATTTTAAACATATAAATACAAGAAATGTTCAAATATTTCATATAACATACGTATCTCATTCTTGACAACAGAAAACAAAATATATTTTAAACACATTTGACAGAGAACACTCCTTTTCTAAATATCATTCAAAAGGAAGAATGTTTCTACTCCCTAAACTCTTTAATTTGGCATTACCAAATTTCTATATTCTTCTTTTTTATTTTTATGGTAATTCTGAATGAGCACAACAACAAAACTGACAAAAGAGCTAAACATCAGTGTTCAAGCACTAAAATAGCTTGTTTCTTCCAAAAACAACAAGGGGGGCTGAAAGAAAGATGCTGACTGTGAAAGAAGCTACATCCAGAAAAAGGAAGATCAGAAAGACTGGCACATGAAAGATGGCGGAGCTGTTATGAGGGCAAGCCCAGTGAGAGACTTACTGTGTGCACTCTGAAGAGGCAGAGCAGTGGCAAACTCACCCATACTGCGGCTGGATGAGAGCACAGTGAATGCTGGCAGACAAAAATCAAAGGAAGGAAAGAAATTGGTGCAATGAGCAACACAAGATGACACAGAAAGGAAAACAAAAGGCTGAACTCAATCAGTGGTGAAAATAATGTGTTAACATCCAAGCAAATAAATTATTGCTGAAGCAAAGTATGAAGACTGCGCCGAACAGATTGGAAAATTGAAGATTAAAATGAAGCAGTCTGTGACAAAGAAATGATGTCACAAAACTACATAAGAAAAAGAAATGAGGTTTGTAAGCAAAAAAAGGAAGACAGTTCCACACCCAAGCAGTTTATTTACACCTCCAGCAGGAGGCAACGGAGCTCACAAACCCTTCCTGTAATGTGTGTGTGCCAGAATGTGTGAATGTGATACCAACGTGTCTTGATCAACAAAAAATGCACACAAAAAGCTGTTTATTTAACAACAAAAAAGCTGAATGAATATAAAACACTAATTAAAGCCTAGAATCACTTTAAATTTACCAATATTCCTAAACTCTCCTGTAAATTCCCACTGAAGCGTAGTCTTGTTTGAGAGTTCCAGTTCCAGAGAAGAAATAAACCTGCTGATTCACACGTCATGTCCCAAATCACTTACCTTTATTTTAGCTTAATTGTAAAAATTTACTTCAAATTCAACAAAAATTTACATTCTGGTGATTTGTGTTAAACATGTGAACCAAATTTGTCTTGTGGTGAAAAGAATATTTAAAAGTGATTCGAAGTAGATGGATCACAAATCACACTGATAAGTGATGTAAGCAAGTCTGCTGTGACGTGCACATTCATTATATTCCATAACTGTGATTAGGCTTGGGTGGTCTGATGATATTTTGTTATACAGCGGTATCAAATTATGACAGTATATAAAAATTATGAAGGCATGAGTCATGTGAGATGAAGTGTCAGATTTCTACAYGGCGGCTAGGAAAACTGGGACATACACATTCTAGGCTCTTTCAAAACACATCCCATAATGTTAGTGACGTGTGTTCTGACCACCTCAGCTGAGCTGCTCACATCTTTTCCCCTCCACGCCTTTCTCTGGCTCTAGAATGTCAAGCTATACGCTGCTCACAAGCAGCCGTTTCTCTGTTAATTTTTAATTGCTCTACCCCATCCCAGGTTGTACCATATACTGCTGTTTATTCTAAAGTTTATACCACGGTAAGAAAATAATCAATACCACCCAACCCTAATTATTTATTTTGTGTGATGATGTTTTTAAAACGTTGTCTGAACCAGAGTAGCAGATTTTCTCTAAATAAACATTTAAATAATGGACCACATAAAAACACACTATTACTTGCTGCCTTAGTGAAAATGGTTTGGAAAGCAAAAGGATGTGTTTTCCAACAACACAAACATGGACTTTTGTGCTGCAAATAAACAATGAGTACATTCTACTTAGCTTAAATACAAATCAATGTCTGTATGTTAGTGTCTGAATGTGTTATTTATCCATTAAAATAAATTTGCTCTACCTGTATTCAGGGGCTGAAATGCAGCTTCGGGTGCAGAGGGGAAACCACTCTTCGAATCAGAACCATTCCCAAATGCATCAAAATGAGCAAACTCTGCACCTGTACTGGTGTTCTGTGGCACTGGAAGTGGTGAGGAGGTGAAGTTCAGACAGACACGTGAGCAACAAAAAACAGTGAGGAGAACATAGTACATGAATGGGTTTACACATGACATCAAAATAAATGGGCGACTAAAAGCAAATACAATGGGTAATGAGGGATGAGGAATGTTGCCAAGTAAAATGATTGACAGCTGGCAAAGCCAGTAAGATGACATGACACTCACCCTTTACCTAGAGATACCAGAAAAGCTGCATCCTGTTTAAGACTGGCCTGAAGACACATCTTTTCAATTCAATTCAATTCAGAAATACTTTATTGATCCCAGAGGGAAATTAGGTAAAATTAGGTTCAAATTAGCCTACCGCTGTTAATTCCRATTTTCAATATMTGTCTGTTTTTGTTGTCCTCTCTTCGATGTTTCTCCCCCACAACCCTATTGTTCAATTTGTCTGCATTATTGTATTTATTATATGACTGTTCTGTACTCCACATTTCTGTTTCTCCCACACTACCCTTATCATTATATGTATCTACAGTTTTTTTTAAATTTCATTTTACTTTTTTCTATTGTACAGTGTCCTTGGGTGTCCTGAAAGGCGCTTTATAAATAAAATGCATTATTATTATTATTATTATTATTATTATTATTATTATTATTATTATCTCTACTATCACTAATTATTCATTTTTATTCTTGGAGGTGTACGCCTATACTCAAGTTTTCCTTGTGGAAATGTGCAGAGGCCACTTTGTTGCTGAATTGTCCTTTGCTTCCTGTGGAGGATAATGTTCTCTCATTTCCCACAAACACACTAATAGTCTTATGTTACACAAATTAGTAACTATGGAGATTTGTCTGTGCATCTGAAGCCAATACAGTATAAGATATACAGAAACATGGATATGCATGATGGCTCATATTTAGCCAAGTTTCATTCAATTCCAGTAATTTGCCATGATTTACAAGAGGTCTTCATTAAATTCAATGCCAATTCATCTGCAGCTTTCTGGTAAATTCACTAAAAAATGAATCATAACTTACCCATTTTGCTACGAGTTATGCTAAAACTTGTTGGCATATACAAAACTACAAGTGCGTAACATATGATTGGGGCAATTAGAGGAAGCTTTTTTTCAAGTTTCCAATAAACAATGACATTTGTCAGTCATTTCAAGCTTTTTAAAAGTTGAAATTATCAACACTGGAATGACCATTTTGTGAACATTATGTTTTAAAACACAAAAAGCACTAAGGTATGTAAAAATAAAAGATGGTTTATGCAGGCTTTCCACTCTTTTACCATTTATCATCTGCCAGTAGACTAGCATCTTACTTTTACATTTGTATCTGTGAAACGGTGCAAAAGCAACCAAACAGAAATCCCCTAAGTAACATCTCTCTCTGCCTCTATTATCATTCTCCATTTGATTTARTTCTTTGTATTTTGCTACTGACTCAGGCTTAACAAGAAAAAAGGACTTGTAACAGTTTGTTTGGGGTACAGAGTTATCTGCATCCATCTTTAACCGCTGACCTTCTAGAGAACAATGACTCAAATATGCAAAAAGGACTACGTTTGCAAAGGAAGATGGTAATAATTAGCTAACATTTAACTCCATTGGAAAATTCTTGCGGATGGTGTTATCCATTGCAATTAAACAAAATGGCTAATTTATGCATCTAGCACATRTTTACTCTAGTTAAGATAAAAAGCTGTACTTTCTTACCATAGTAAGAAAAAAAAAACTAACAAAAAGGCAGCAGGGAGTTTATAACTCTCAATAAGCTCTTCAGATGGTTTTCTAGAACCACTGGTTTTCTTTAAACACTGAAATAAACGTAGAAAAAATAGGAATGTACACCTAATAAGAATAAATCTAAACTATTCTTATTCTTTAAGCAATTTAAATGTTTGCAATCAGAAATGAAGGATGATTTCCACCACCTGTGATTCTGTCTCATCTGTCAGCAGTTGACAGTAATGCATTTCACACGTGGAAAGTTTTAACTCACACAGATTCCATATCGACTCCATTTAGCTTTTAAAATTGTTCATTGACTAAACTTCATTGCTGCTTTGTTTAAGTAAGCCACTGTTTAGTAATTTTGATATATTTAGTTTAAGTATTCATTGGTTTCTTACTTGTGTGGCTGTTGAAATGTGCAAAGTTTGCAAAACTGGAGCCGGCAGCTGCATTCACATTGGTGGGCGGGGCAGCAAAAATGTCTCCACCCAAGTCACTGAGGAGGTCGAACTTCTTGTCGTGGAACTGCTGTGGATGGGCTTGTCCACGGCTCACCACAGGTGACTGGTGGAGATAAGAGATAAACATAAAAAAATCATCCATGTGTTGGATACTATAAATACTATAAATCAACTTTGTCAATAACTCCAAATTCAAGGATGTGTCAGCTATTCACCTGATTTGGTGGGGTACCCTTGCTGAGGTGCAGTGTCGGGGCAGAGTCCCCCAGCAGGGTTTTGAGCGGTCGAACCTCTGGGGTGCTGTTAGTGCTGCTGTTTGAGGAACCAGAGATGGAAGCATGGACTGATGCCACTGTCTTGGCTTGTTCAGGAGGTACATACCTTGAAAACAAGTCACAATATATGCTAAATAAAAAAAAGTAAGCAATCACAAARGCTTCTCATAATAAAATAAAAATCAACCTCAACCCTGTAAAACTCTAAACTCAAGATTTATTTGACTAAAAATAGGTATTAAATATACAAAAACGTACATTTATCAAAGTGTTTGCAGAATATTTACAGCTATTTAAACTAGAAGTTCCAAAACGTGCAGCATGGCTATACCACACATTACAAGACTTTGACTTCAGTGAATCGTGACGCCTTTCTGCARCAAAAGAGACATGCTGAGGCATGCAACACTTTCTCCTCTGCTCTCCTTCTGGGCAGCCTTCAGAGAATAAACACTAGAAAAAAAAGGCTAAAAATAACTCCTTCATATAAGGTTAATTAGAGATATGGATGTGTATATCAAAGAAAATAACTGTTTGTCCTATAGATGCAGCTCAATTTAAGTGTCTAAAAGAATAAATCTACACTTAGTATGATTAACAGCTTTTACTTTGTGAATCTAAGTTTAACAGTTCACTCAGTTTATTTTGTTTGTAAAAACTGCCTCAGCTAGTTGTAACTCTAAAATCCATAGTACTAAAACTTGCATAACAAACTCATGTATTAACTAAAGAAAGCTTATAGTGTCATAATATTGCGCAAATCAAGCAGCTTGACCATAATGACCTACATTAAAAGAGGATGATTTGGTGGCTTGCTAGAGGCTAAGTGCTACAAGCTGCCTTTGAGAGATTCCAAGCCAGAGAGAGGAAAAGCAGAAAGGAAAGCAACATGTCTGCACAGTGCCCAGTTCTATGTAAGAGAAGCTTGTAAAACAGACTCACCATCTTTTCTTCTCGTATTTATCTTGAAGGAACTCCTTGACTTTTTGTGGTTCTCTGAAGTCTGGTACGGATGAGGTTCTGTCATCATAAAGACCAAGCCAGATCTGTTTACATACCTGGAAAACATTAAAAATATTAAAGTCCTGGTATTTGTTTGATCAGTTCTGTTAGACACTAAGCCTTACAGAACTTTATCGGAATTTATTGGTCTTTAAATTGTTAAATCAAAGAGTTTTAGGGACATGAGAAAGTCATAAAGCAATGATGGCTAGACATACCGATACTAGGAAAGCTAAACAAAAGCAGATAAAGTTTTCATGTCTGATGTGATGGAACAATATCAATATGTGCAGAGGAAAATGTCACATAGTATAAAATAAGTCTTCCATTTCACTGGCTTTGGGATTTGGACAGTACTCCTAGGCATTTGTCTGATCTTGTAATGAGAATATTACAGGTTTTAGGTGTATGTGTAATTGTGTAAGTGTATTGTAAGTGTGACAGTCAGAACATCTCTTATCCTTGTCTCAGTTGTTGCCATTCCCTCATCAAAAACATACCCAGAGTGTTGCAACGACTCATTCATGCATGTTTAAGAAATCCTTGATTCTCCTCGGTAGCCATGTAGAGATGCATAAACCAGGGCTATTCAACTGGCGGCCCGCGAGTGACCAACGTTCAGCCCGCCAATTGGTTTATGCATCTCTTAAACCCAAACCCCCTGTTTTCTACTTTAATTACTCTAAGTTCTTTTAGAGTAATTAAAGTTCTTTTACCAAACATAGACATGTTTGGTGTCTGCAGAAACATCAGTATCTTGGATAGAAGCTGGTAAAAACCATTTCTATAAACACTCAAGACAGTTAAAACTACAAGCTGTTGAAGATAAAATGATGAAAGTGAAAATAAAATTGGTTTAAAAATTTGGCAAGTCAGAGATGTCAAAATATTATTTGTGTCTAATAATTGGAGGCATAATGTGTTCTTTTTGTTTTTGATAATGTGTAATTATCACAAATTTTATAGGATTCTGTATGCTGTATTCATGATTAAACGCAGCAAAATAAACTAATTCAAAAGGTAACATATATTTGTAAAACTTGGTTTATTTACATAACAACTTTAATTGCTGGATGTTCGGCCCCTCAGCTGTTGACCAGCAGTAACTGTGGCCCCCGGAGCAATTTAGTTGAATAGCCCTGGCCTAAACATTTGCTGGTACAAAGCACCGCCTATGTGTACCAAGCACCTACCTGGAGCCCAAACTGCAGCCGAGCTACCACCCCACAGAGCACCCTCCCCCAAACAATTGTTTGAAATCATGCTTGAAGTGGGAGTGTCTGAAAYGGTAGGAGGTTCTAAAAGACACAGAGGCGGGTAATTTCAAGGTGTTCAGATAAGTTATGATGCAAAGGCAAATTTATTTTTGATTTATACAGCATTTTCACAACAACTGAAGGTAACATAGTTACTTGATTGTTGTATAGAAATGAAGTATGTGCCTGGAAATAACCCTCCCCTGCCCC